AGAGGCGCTGTCGAGGGCTCCGGGAGCGGATCTTGGAGGCCAAGAAGGGGCCCCGACGGGGCCGAAATGGAGCCCACAGGCGTCTGGCAGCGTCTTCAGAACGATACCAAGATCGAGTTTGTCTTGGACGCCGTCGTGGAGCCGTTTTGGAAACCGAAGAAGGGCATTGCCGCAGCTGGGCGGCGGAATGGAAGTTCGAGTTGCCCCTCTTGGGCTCCTCTTCGCCTTCACCCCCGGCAAGCGGAGTCGGCACTTTCGAGGGCTGCTGGGGGGAGGGGGGCTTGGGCAGCCATTTTCGAGGGCTGCTGGGGGGGGAGGAGGCAGCGGTGTGAGCCATGCGCAGACTTACCTTAGACCTCACTATCCCTTGGGGGCTGCGAACTGCGAAACGGTCGCCATTTTCACTGGCTGCTGAGTGGGGGGCAGCGGGGTGGCGTCACACGCGCACCGAAATTTAACCTTTCCATCCTTGAATGGCTGCGATCTGCGAACTTGTCGCCACTTTCGAGGACAGCTGGGGTGTCCAGCGAAGTGACGTCGTACGCAGACCTAAATTTGACGTCGCCCTCCTTGTGGGCGGCTGTGATCTGCGAAGCGGTTGCCTCTTTGGAAGGCTGCTTGGGGGTCCAGCGGAATGACGTCCTACGCATACCTAGATTTGATCTCGCCATCCCTTGGGGGGCTGCCAATTGCGACACTGTCGCCCCTTTCGAGGGCTGGCCGGGGCGCCCACAAAGTGGCGCCAGCGCAGCCTCAGATTAGACCTCACCCTGCCTGGGGGGCTGGGAGCGAAATGGTCGCCACATTCGAGGGCCTCCGGGGGGTCCAGCAAAGTGGCGCCCTACACATACTCAGTTTTGACCTCGCCATCCTTGGGGACTGCGATCTGCGATAGAGTCGCCACTCTCGAAGACTGCGAAGGAGTCCAGCGGAGTGACGCCCAACGCAAACTTAAGGTAGACCTCGCCATCCCTGGGGAGCTGCGATCTGCGAAACGGCCGCCACTGTCGAGGGCTGCTGGGGGATCCAGCGGAGCGACGTCCCACGTAGGCTTAATTCAGACCTCGTCATTCTTGATGGAGCTGCGATCTGAGAAATTGTCGCCAGCTTCGAGGACTGCTGGGGTCCAGTGGAGTGACGTCCCACGCAGACCTAAATTTGAGCTCGCCATCCCTCAGGGGGGGCTTCGATCTGCGAAACTGTCGCTTCTTTCGAGTGCTGCTGGGAGGACTCGCGAAGTGAGGTTCTACGCAGACCTATATTGGACCTCGCCATCCTTTGTGGCGGCTGCGATCTGCGACATTGTCGCTACGTTCGCCGGCTGTTGGAGGGTCCCACATAATGACGTCCTGCGCATACTCAGGTTCGACCTTACCATCCCTGGGGGGCTGGGATCTGCAAAACTGTCGCCACTTTCGAGGGCCTCGGGGGGTCCAGCAGAGTGGCGTCATACGCAGATCCAGGTCGACCTCATCATCACTTAGGGGATGCAAGCTGCGAAAAGGTCGCCATTTTCGAGGGCTGCTGGGGGTTCAGTGAACTGACACCCCATGCGGACCTAAATTAGACCTCGCCATCCTTGGGGAGCTGCGATCTGCCAACTGTTCGCCACTCGAGGGCTGCTGGAGGGTGCAGCGAGTGACGTCCCATCAAGGCGTACCTAGGCCTCGCAATTCCTGGGGGGGGGCTGCGATCTGCGAAACTGTCGCCACTTTTGCAGGGCTGCTGGGGTGTCCCGCAGAATGACGTCCTACGCAGACTCAGTTTTGACCTCACCATCCCTGGGGGGCTTCGATTTGCGACACTGTCTCCACTTCCGAGAGCTGCTGAGGGGGTTCCAGCAAAGAGACGTCTCACACAAAGTCAGATTAGCCTTGGTTTCCTTTCCCGCGGGCCGCCCGAAGAACTGACATCGCGCCAGCGGGCTTTTAGTTTCCGCTCTGAAGAGGTGCCGGAAGGAAGCGGAGAACCTGGCGGGCGATTTCGGCCTCGCTCGCTTCTTGCACCCGCTATTAACAGCTGATCCTTTCTCAATCGCCAGGGCGACATGGCGCACAACTGCCGCATAACCAATGGCACACCCAGCGTTGCCATCAGCCGTATTGCGCATGACCAACCCCTCGTGCCACTTACTGCAGATGGGCTGGCTACAGCACAGGGTACTTCTCTCACGTCCTCGAGTCGTGGGACAATCACTGCAAGAGGTGTTTGCCAGTTCTCGGCTTGGGGCCCGCGCGGTGCCCCGAGAACGACGGGAGACACGGAGCGAGAAGCGGGCCCCCGGGCAGGGGCGCAGACGCGCGAGGCCCACGCCGTGTGCAGCAGTCGCGGCGTCGGAGGCTCGAGCCGACTCGCGCGCCGCTTCCCTCGAGGATCCCAGGCCGCCTCGCGTCGCGAGATCATCAGAAAGGGCGCGTCCTGCCGACAATCGGAAGGGTGGCTTCGAACCGAGGGGCCCTCCCCCCGGAGGTGCAAGACCCTTGCACGGGGGGGGGGCCTGGCTTGCAAGCGTGGGTGGGGGGTGTTCGAAGCGGGGGGGGGGGCCCCTCTCTCTCAAGGGGGGGAGGGTCGAACCGCCACCCCCCTTCGTTTCCCCTTGAGGATCGCAAGGTGAGGGGTCAACCCGGCTCCCCCAACGGCAAACGATGACGAAGGTGACGACGCCGACGACGACGACAGCAGTAACGACGGTAACGGCGCCGACGGCACCGACGACGACGACGGTGACGGTGATGCCGCCGACGACGACGGCGACGAAGACGAAGACGACGACGGCGACGGCGACGGCGACGGCGACGCTGACGAGTACGACGCCGACGACGACAAACGCAGACGACTACGACGGACACGACGACGACGCCGACGACGACGCCGACGTTGCCGACGCCAGCGACGACGACGGCAACGGTAGAGTTGGGTAGAGTAGATCAGAGTAGAGAGGACTACGTATGGTAGATGGTAGACTTTGGGTCGAGTGTACGAGAGTACAGTAGAGGAAAGGAGAGACGAGAGTAGAGTAGGACCACGAGTAGAGTAGAGTAGAGTAGAGTAGAGTCTAGCAATGTAGTCTAGTGCAGGGTACGGTTCGATAGAGCAGAGGATGGTAGAGTAGAACAGAGTATAGTAGAGTAGGGGAGATGGTACAGTAGGACCGGGGCGAATAGAGTAAAGTAGAGTAGAGTAGCGCAGAACATGCGTAGGGTGTATTCGGATAGAGTTGAGTGGAGTGGAGTGGGACTCTAATAGAGTAGCCTCGAGTAGAGTAGGAGTAGAGTAGTGTAGAGTAGAGCGGAGCGGAGTAGAGTAGAGTAGAGTAGAGTAGGAGAAGAGGCAGAGTAGAGTGGTGTAGTGTACAGGAGGCTATGGCAGGGTAGGGTAAGGCAGAGTATAGTAGGGTAGAGGGTAGAGGAGTAGAACCGAGTATAGCAGAGTAGAGCAGGGTAGATGGTAGAGCAGCGTCGGGCATAATAAAACAACTCAGAGCATATTAGAGCAGTACAGAGCAGAGCTGATTAGAGGTGAGCATCGTCGAGTAGGGTGGGCGTACGGCGTGGAGTATAGAAGAATACCTGTAGAACAGAGTATGAGGTGGAGTACTGCAGTGTAGGCTAAAATAGACTATACTATGGTAGGGCAGGGTAGACTAGGGTAGAGTAGACCAGAGTATACTAGAGAAGAGTAGGGTAGGAGGTGGAGTAGAGTCGGGTATCATAAAGTAGACTAGAGTAGAGTAGAGAAGAGTAGAGTGGAGTAGAGTGGAGTAGTCCAGTCTGCTTCAGTCGAGTCCAGTACACTTCATGCCAGCCTTCTGATCTATCTGGAACATGCTCTGTCTGATTTTGTACTGTGTCTTGTAATGTCTATGTTGCGTGTTTTGCCATCCGTCGTCGTTCGTCGTCCTTACAACTCAGAGGCCCCCCCCTGGTTCGAATTTCCACCCCTTGCAATTCAGGCACCCCTCCCCCCTGTTCTGTGCAATTCAGGCCCCCACCTTTCGATGGGGCCAATTCTCACGTGTCCACATGTTTGTCCAAGGCTAGCGGTCCCGAAACGCGCTCCCTCAATAGTCACGACGGGCGCTCGATGTTTCTTTATAAAGCAAGAAGGGGCAACACAACTTTCCGCCGCTGGGGGCCCTCGCCGGGCCCCAGGCCCAGGGAATGGGTCGAAACCTCTGGGGGTCGACGTCATTCAACAAATCATGGCGTCGGGGGTCTGGGTGATCGAGGGCTTGGGGCGCTTTGTGGGGTGTTCTCGGGCCTCGGGGGGCGCCCGAGCGGCCTTGCGTTGCCCGCGCTGATGCTGGGAAGCAAGCTGGGGAGCTCACTCCGAGGGTGCCCTCTCGCGACTGGCGCACGTCGCCTCCGGTTGACCCAAGAGGGGGTCCAGCGACAAGGGGGTGGTGCACTAGATTTGATGCAATAGGTTGGTGGGGGTGCAACAGATTCGGGGCGTGCCATACATTTCGGGGCGCAAATGTACTGCTGGATTTTTGCGGGCAGTGCATTAGTTGCCATACAATGCCATATCATTTTCCGCCGCAGTACTTTTGCAATGCAATTGCCCAACACCTATTGCACCACACCCTTTCGGCTGGACCCCCTTTCGGGTCGACCGAAATCGCGCTGCCAGCAGCGCTGGTCACGCTCCGAGCGTTCCCGCTCGCGGCTGGCAGCCATCGCGCCGCCAGCGAGGGTGCTTGGCCCCGAAGCGGGCCTCTGATCGGATCTTCTCGGCGTCGTCGTCCTGCTTGCTCATCCTCCTTCTCCTCCTCGCGTTCGCCTTTCAAGAGCGCCCCCTCCCCGATCTCTGCAGTGGTGCGTCTTGACCAAGGGGAGTCGAGCCCTGGTGATGAGGAGCCTCCCGGAGGCCCACAACGGACGATGACAGCTCAAAACTTGGAACCCGAATCCCTTCGCCCTCTGCCTTCTCCGGTGTGAACAGAAAGCCAGCAGTAAAAGCAATCGTCCTCTTTCTGATCCTGCTGCTTCGCCTCCTTCCGTGGCCATTTCGGCTGCCGGCTCAAGGCTCGCGCCGTCGAACACACAACCTAACTCATCCACATATATATCCACGTATTGCGCTCGAACTTTTGGTGTTGTAGCGTGCTGCTGGCAATGATGTTTGCTGCTTCCCACTATTTTGTCATATTGCATCTGGTACCCGTCCATGCGATCGGCCTTCAGCGGTACGGGAGGGAGAGTTTGACTGAGACTGCGAAGTCTGTTGACGAGTCGGATGGGAATGGTCTCAGGTCCCGCGTCACGTCAGATGATACGGCGGCGTGGATCGCCCTGAGCGGAAATCTTGGCGGTAGCTCCCGCGTCACTGTATATGACGCAGCGGAATGGACCGCCCTGGGCAAGATGAATAAGGTAGGCGTCACCCGTTACCAGAGCCGCGCCATCGAGAGGAGGCAGAGAGAGGATGGCGAGCTCTTCTGGCCCGACTCGGCCAACCGCGATGCGGAGCAGCGATACTCTGGCGCGAAGGACCTCACTGAGTCCGTGTCCTGGGGCTGGCACCATCCGGCTGGCCTCTACGCCACCATCCCGGTGGGCAGCCCACTCCTCGACGCCGACATGAACATCTATCTCGGCTCCGACGACGCGATCCGCAAGTTCGACATCAACGGCAGCCTCCTGTGGAGCTACGCGCCCCGAGGTCAACTCGCAGCTGCACCCACCCTGTCCACGGGCTGCGCCCCCCGACAGGCGGCGTCTGTGATGGACGACATCACTTCCGAGGAGGAGGAGCTGCTGCGACCAGACTGGGTCAAGGGCAACGGGTCGGACATGATGCAGCGCTTCGTGCAGTTCTTCCAGGACTTCAAGATTGGCGACCGCGTCAAGGTGAAGGCTGGTGCGAGCTACAGGGTACACGGCGAGGAGCTCTTCTCGGCTGGAGACGAGGGGGTGATCACCAGTATTCTTCCGGACGAGGAGGGCAAGTACGAGGTCGTGGTCCAGTGGGCGCTCACCGGGCGCCAGAGCTCGATACAGTTCGACGACGTAAAGAAGCACTTCGTGCGCCTGGAGCGGAAGTCCGCCACGTGCACCCCGATGCTCATCGGGAGCACCACGTCCAGCACGGGGGGCTCCGGCCTCGTGTTCGCCATCGATCTCGCGATGGGGCACGAGCAGTGGGTCCTCCAGGGCAACTACCAGATCGCTGGCGTCAAGGGGGCTCTGGCCTCAAAGGACGGCATCGTAGTCGTCGCAACCAACCGCTGCACCGACCGGTACTGCTACAGGTATCGCAACCAGACTAACACACTCACGCCAGGCAACACCGTGGTGCGGGGCCTGAACGTTGCGGATGGCTCTCAGGTCTGGGCGTACGTGCCCAACGCGCCGGTTTGGAATATGAACCCGGTCTGGGGCCCGAGCGGCAGCGTGTTTTTCAACGATCAAGAAGGCAGGCTGTATTGCCTGGAGCTCGCGACTGGCGTTGAAATTTGGCAAGCTGGTGGCGAGCTCGGCACGTACACCGAGGCAGCCGCTGTATACGATACGGGCCCCCACCATAACGTGTATGCTTTCGGCATGTTGCCCTACACTGGCACGGGCTGCAATCCTTACACCGCGCCTGGCGTCCTTCCCAGTTGCGGAAACGCGCCCTTCAGACAAGGCATTATCCGCGCCTACAACGCCACCTCGGGCCGGCTCCGCTGGGAGCGAGTCACGCCACACCCGCCCGCCAGCGGAGCCGTGGGCATGCTCAACAGCCCCAGATTCCACACCCGCCTGGTGGTCACCCTGGGCTACAACTGCGGACACAACTCCCCCACCATGATCTGGTCCGTGGATCCCCACAGCGGCGGCGTCCGGTTCAACAAGGACGGCCCGACGCTGTGGAGCAGCATGTGCGCTGGCGACAAGGAGGGCGGCGACGTCCGCCGGGCCTTCGGCGGCCGCGCCACGTGCAGTCCCGGCAGCTGGTCCGCACCAGTCATCGACCGGGATGGCGACATATACGTCGGAAACCAAGTCGGCGAGTATCAGAGGTGGGGCTCGCCGACCGAGAGGAACGAAGACGTCGAGGCGCTCTCCAGCTTGGTGACGGGCGTGGCCTTCCAGGACGCGGCCACCGCGCTCGCCGACGGCGTCATGGCCGTGGCCACGTGCACCTCCCTCATCGTCTTCCAGACAGGCTTCCAGGATCAGTTCGAGAACAAGACCTGGACCTTCCCCGCCCGCGGTTAGCCGCTCTGTCTTCTGGTGGGTCGTGAGCAGAGTGCTCACAGAACTTCAGTGCGTAGCGCTTCGGCTGGTCCGCAGTCTTGGCCGCCCTGCCGCCCAAGAATTGGGTGTGGCGCTCTTGCTGCGGCGCCGAACGGCCGCTCGCCTCGACAGGAAGTCGGGGGGGCGGGGGGGGCGCCAGCTCGCCCCGCGCCACGCGGGGGGGCCACCCTGGCCCAGCAGCTCCCCTGTTATATATGGCCGCCCTGGCCGCTTCGGCCACCTGATGGGCACAGCTTCGCTGCTCACCGCCGCTCGCCGCTGCGCGGCTCCGCGGGCCGAGCGAGCAGCTGCGGCTTGGATCTTCCGGCCCCGCCCGCGGCCCGCCGTGGCGCCAGCCGCCCCTGCGGGAGCTGGCGTGCGGGTCTCGCGGCGGGCCTGCTGGCCTGGAGGCGATCCGCCCGGCTCCTCGCCGAGTGCGTGTCGAGGCCCCTTCTGCCCGCTGTGCCTGCAGTGTCGTGGGCCGAGGACGGCCAAAAACCGAGCATTTTCTTCGGTCGGGGGGCAGAGGGTGGAATCTGAAATGCCGTTTCGATGGATTCTCGAGGCTTGAATCTTCAAAAGGGGAATCACAAGACGGATTGATCTTCGAGGTGAAACATCCCATATGGGTTTCACCCTGAGCCCTTCACCCTAAGAAAATGTTCAAACAAAAGCAAGCTCACGGTACGGATGAGGAGCAGCACTGCCCACCGTGCAGACGAGCGGAGGCCTCGAGAGCTCCTCGAGAGAGCGCAGAGGCGGGAAAGCTGGCCAAACACATGGGATTTCACCAGGGTTTGGGATGCTTCTCGCCTCTGGGGGGCTCCTCGGAAAGCTTCGTGGCCACTAGGAGCCGCCTTTGAGCGGACCTGAAGCCTCCTGCAGGCATTTTGGAAGCTATACTCAACAATTGTTGGGGGTATCTTGAGCAAGCTTGGAACTTTCTTGCGCTATTTGGAGGCCTCTTGAAGCCGTGTGGAGTCCCAGGGGGGCCCCAGGGAGAGCTGACACACCCCCAGGACCCTCTCCCTCCAGGACCCTCCTGGGGAAGGGATCGAAGGAAAGGGGCTTTCCTTCAGCTCGATTATGCGACGTTGCTCGATTTCGCTCTGGCGCTAGAGGAGGAAGACCCAGGGACAGGGGGGGGACAGGGCGACGACGACGACGACGACGAGGACGACGACGAGGACGACGGCGACGGCGACGGGGACGACGACTCAAACGGAGCAGCGTCTCATTCACGCCGGCAGGGTCGGCGGAATTGTGGCGACGTATCTGGAGGGCGGTTCTCGTCCAATCTTCGTCGCCGACTGTGTGGATTTGGCGCCGCAGGTTTGGCTCAGAACGCTGAGGGCTTCTGGGAGCTCCGAGGAGGAATGTCGGCCAGCCTGACTGGCCGAGCCCAGACGGTGCCAACGGCCGAGCTTGCCGCCTTTGTTCCCGCCCCGGAAGGGTCGCGACGGTCGGTAGCCTCTTTCAGTGGGGTGTGAGCGGGGGCGGTCTCGTGTTCGTGACGGGCGGATTGGGAGCTTGTGGTTGCGTGTTCGTCGGGCTTTGGCGTCCCGAGGCGAAGGAGAGGTCACGGTCGAGTGGACCCCGTCCCACGTCGATCTTGATGACTCGAATTTGCCTGCTAAGGAGCGGTTCTTGGCCTTGGGGAACGCAGCGGTTGATGTGGTTGCGGGGGGAGCTGTTGAGCGGAACTGGACCGTGACGGCGGTGTCTCTTCCCCCGCCCACTAACCAGTGGGACGCAGTGGCCGCCGCCGTTCAGAGGAGAGCCAGGCGCGCCTTGGTTCATGCCGTTGCCGCTAGTCCCATGAAGCCCAAGGATGCCTTTCGAGCGCTCGAGGGAGCTCGGTCCGGGACCAAGCGGGATAAGGCTGCCCGCGCCAGCCCCCAGTGCAGTTCCAAATGCGTGAGCCGTTTTCGTTGCTCTCGTTGCGTTCGTCTCCCGACCTGGGGGACGCTCCTGATGCCGCTGCCAAATCATCCTCAAGCGCGAAACGACTGTTGCCCGGGCCATCCCCCCCTGTCCCCCAGATAACGATAACGATCGTACGCCCCACATGCTGGTGCTCGCGCGTGTACTGTAGCGATTGCAGCGCACCCCCGCCACGATGTGCCCCGTCCCGCCCAAGCGTTACCTTTACCCGGGTCCCCAGCCCCCCTCCGCCCCCCCGGGCAACGACCACCACAGTGGAAACCCATGTTAAGAAACGCCCTGCTTGCCTCCAGGGTGCCCCGGGTTTCTTGGGTTTCGATGGTTCAGCGATGGAGAGCGCGACGTCCCCACACCGAAAGTCCATGGGCGTCCTGGTGTCTCAGGGCTTGGTGTCTTGTGGTCGAGCTCCTACTGCACCCGAAGCAAGAAACAAGCACTTCGTGAAAGTCTTCGCACGACCTGGGGGAAAAAGCTCCTCGAGAGTTCTGTTCCTCGGACCGCTGCTCGGCCAATAAGCCAAGGGGGCCGAGACGTGGCCCAAGGACGTTGTCTTGGTTTCGGCCCCGGGCCCCGTGGTTGGTAGTACGCGGGCCCGCGCTCCATGGGGAGCTCCTCGAGTTTTTGCTCCCTGGGCTGCGCTTGGCCAAGGGGGGCCCAGACGTGGCCCAAGGACGTGGTCTTGGTTTCGGCCCCGAGCGCCTGTGGTTGGTAATGCGCGGGCCCGCGCCCCACGGGTCTCCTCGACGCGGGTTTTCCGGGACCATTTTCGGCGCGTCCACCGCTGATGGCCGGCGGCTTCCTTCTGGATGGAGAACACTCTGTATTCATTTACGTACGTCATTCTTCATGGTTAACGTGTTGACCTGTCTATATATATATATATATGTATACATGTATATGTATATACATACATATGTATGTGTATATATGTACATACATACATATGTATGTGTATATATGTATATATATATCCTGTCGATAACGAGCGTGACCAGGGGGGGTGGAGGAACGGGGCATGTCACGAGTCGCGCCCGCGCCGTCCGGGAACATCAGTTGCGAACGGGCCAGTTCCCAGGCGGCGCTGGCGCAAATCGTGCCGTGACCAGGCGCGGGCAGGGGAGGTACACGTTCGGACTTGACTGGAGGGAAGGAGGGGCGGAGGAGGAGGAGGAGATGGAGATGGAGATGGAGATGGAGATGGAGATGGAGATGGGGGGGGGGCGGGGCCGTCGCGCGCGTTCTCGCGAATCAATAGGGAACGGACCCAAGGGCCTGGAAACTTTCGCCGTAATCTGGCAGGGCAGGTTCCCTGGCGGGGCGGGGCCTCCCGAGACGGCCCGCGCTGCTGGGCGGGAGCGAGAGCGAGAGGTGTCTATTGCCGAAGCGTCTCTCTGCAGGAACTTGGTTCCTCCTGCTGCGTGATGCGTCTCACACCCTCCATCCTCCTTCTCTTTTTCCTCTGCACGCTGTGCTGCGCGAGTGCTTCAAATCCTCCTCCTCGTCCTGCCCCGCCTTGACGTCCTCTCCCCTCCCAGGAAAAAGAGGGGGTGGAGGAGTAGGAGGAGGAGCAGGTGGAGGTGGAGGAGGAGGAGCAGGAGGAGGAGGAGGAGGAGGACGAGGAGGAGGAGGAGGAGGAAGGAGAGGGGTGAGGAGTACAATGGAGGAGTGAGGAGAAGGGAGGACAGAGAAGAGGAGTGATCAAGGAGGGACTGGAAGGGAGGAGGAGGAGGAGGAGGAGGAGGAGGAGGAGGAGGAGGAGGCGAAAGAGGGAGGAGGAGGGTGAGGAGAAGGAGGAGGAGGCGGAGGAGAAGGAGCGAGGTTTCTGCCTCCACCTACGTATCTACACAGGGTTCTGGCGGGGTGGGCAGACAACAGCGAACAGCCCTACGCATACAGGGGGTCGGGGACTTGGCGAGCTCCATACATTTGCTCCGATTATACGGTCCTCATTGCCAGACCTCGGGTGCTTGCGTTGCACACGGCGGCGCATCTGATGCTGCGCCGCTTCATTACGCCGCCAGCCCGCTACACCAAAGCTACTAGGACAGGCTGTGCCGGGCCCCAAAGGTCTATTGGTCGCATGCTGGCAGCACGGCTTGCAGAACGAAAACGTATCTCCAACCTCAGCCTCGGGGCGTGGGGCCAGTCAACACAACTTGACATCGTGCGTGTGGGGAAATTGGGCCACACGCTGGAAAGGGCCGCATCTTCTGGTCGGCAATCCTTTCGATCGAGATCACTGGATGGGGCCACCTTCGACCTCAAACATCGCTTGCACTGCCACCAGGACGGGCAGACCAGAGGAAACTCGTGAGCAATCTTGGAGGCCAGAACATTGCGGGGAGTGGCCCGCTGGAGGGATGTCCATTCAGTTCGCGGGGCCAGCTCCGACTCGAGCACACGGGAAGCAGCATACAGGAACCTCTTGACACGAGCCAGTTGGTCTTCTAGGGAGACGAGGGGTGGGGCCATGCACACCATGCAGTTTACAAGCTGCTTTGGCTGCTTGGTTGACCTGGTCGTTTCACCAGGCTCGCCGCTCGGGCGGGGTCTCGGAGCTCCGGGACCTCGAGGTGGGCCTTCTGCTCGATGAGCTCCCAAAACGCCCAATCCTGCCGAGCACCGCCCCTCCAAACACTGGCAACTCGGCCTCTCCGGGCCGCACCTGTGGCGACTCCAAGACGACGCACAGAGAGCACTGCATTACAGAGAGCACGTGCCATCACTGAAACGAGCTCCAGATTCGTACGCCGCATGCTCGGCAGCCACGGCCGTCTGGGCAGACACGGGGGTAAGGGTCCCCACAACACGCAGGAGTTTGCCGGCGGCCCGATCCCACAGCGCCAGCCCGACCCCCCGCCCCCCCCGCCGAAGCGACTCGAGAGGGGCGGCCGAAGCCGATCTATCTCCAGCTACGGGCTCGTTCGGAACAAACTTGAGATCTGAAATCGGGATTTCCCCATCCCCGCGGAAGGCACAGGATCGAGGAAGAGGAGGGGTTTCAGAGTGTGGCCTCAGCGGCAGCGGCAGGTTCCTCAGTTTTTCATCGCCGCAGGAGTGGCACGCTGGCACGCTGTGAGCGCCCCGCGCAGAACCGCGGGCACTCCAGCAGGACGCGATTTGCATGCGTGTCGGGCACTCGGCAGTTCATGCACAGCGGCTGCACTAGGTAGCCCCACTTGTGCGCGAGGCTCCTCGTCATGTAGGTCCCGTGCGTGGTGGGGACCAGGACACGTCGTGTCAGCGACGTGACGTGGCGGTTGCCGATGATGGCCCTCAGGCCCTCCCACCAAATTCCTGGCCCATTGCCGCCGCCCGGGCGAGACCGCACGGTGGCGTTAGCTCTCACATCCGTCAGCGCGAGCACGTCTCCGTCGAAAAGCTTGCCCACCTCTGACCCGAAGCGCGAATCCGAAATCTCCCCAAGGCTCGGGGACTCGAAGGCCGTATCGTGCCTGGCGACCCAGCCCGCCCACTTCCAGGACCCCAGCATCGCGCCAGCAGGTCCCGCCTCGCGTCGGTCCTGCTGCAGATCGCGCGCGGCGCAGTCA